TTAAAAATAATATCTTAGCTGTTTGACGGAACATTCCGTCTTGAGCGGGCATATTGACCAATTAGATGCTGCTTTTGATGGCTACGGTCATGGTGTGAATCAGAGAAGAAACTGAAGTCAGTTGCTCAACTGCTCTATCACTACCCGTCACTCACTTCCATTTTTGGTTCTCCTTCTTTAAATATCCGTCTTATACCTCTAATAAAGGCATTGAAGATATTATCTGTTATATTAACGCAACAAAGTAATTCTCGATCCGAAGTAAAGACATATTTACTTAAGCACTTTAAAACAATTTAAAACATTTAATTTAAAACAATGTTACCACAGTGGGTCCATTTTCAAAGCTTAATTGATTGCCGTTTTTGAACGAGGCAGGCTAATATTATAAAATGCAACAAAATTTACCAAAAATATTCAAAACTTTTGTACCACTGTCAAAAACATCCACTAAAATCTGCAACACTCATGGATGTAAAATGGCAAACTAATCTCAGTATTCAAATATGTTTATCATCGATTCAATTTACTGCATCAACTTGTGATTTCAAAGATTGAAAGCTTGTCCACTAAGTTTACATAGCGCTGTATGACGACTTGATTTGGTTCTTTATATTTTTAAATCAATTAACTTAATAAAGTGATGAATCACTTTATGATACTAAGGGCTATAATTCCTCCATGATAATCTTTTTCAAATACACCTGATTTGGAACACCTATGCTGCAAGAAGCCGTGGAAGATCACAAACCATATGGTATAGTACAGTTTTTACATTTTATCGATAGCGATTATTAGGTGGCAATAGATTATATTGAAATTTATTTGTGAAATCTTGAAACTCGTAGAAAGTAGTACGGAAATAATAATAGAAACAGTAATTATAGAAAGCACAGTTAGACATGTTACAAACTTCGAATATTAATACAGCAGATAATAAATAATAAGTTCGTATACAAATTCAGACAGAAATTTAAACCTAATATTGAAGAGAAAATACTAGATATCTGATCACCTCCTAAATAGTCTTAGCCTCTACACAAGAAGTAATAACTGAAAGCAGGCGGCCAACACACTAGTATTCTCTAATGCCATTTATTGCACTAGATAAAAAAAACAACTATTTTATATTAACCAGTTAAATTACTCATCACTTAACGTTCGTTAAAGGCTCCCAAATTGTAAGGGCTGAATTTAACCAAGCTATACATACAAATAAATAGTTAGAAACGAAAATAGGTCACCACAATGGGCCGAAAATAGTAATTCTATTCGTAGACTATTCCAATCACTTCTTCAATCAACCAATCGAAGCAAAAATGTGTATCTACTTTCTTCTCTTTTGTGATTTTTTTTTTATTTATGTATATATGTAATTATTTATCTTTATGATATCCAAAACATCATAATGTTGATAGGTTACCGGAGTTTTGGCATTAATTACAGCTTATTTCTTTTCTTCAAAAAGATTATTCTCGTATATGTATAGGTAGATTATACTTTTTCTTCATTACTTATTATTGAAGTTCTTCGCTATTATCTTGAAATTATTTTTGTTTACTATATTCTAGCTAGAAATTATAGGTCTTAACATGCGAGGTTTGGTTAGGTATATTATAGTATAAATGTATTACAACCCTTGTGTGTCAATCCTCATTCTTCCTCTTTCTTAATATGTCATCCTTCTGTTACACGATTTTGTTCGGTCTCGTCTTCTCCTATTATACTATACTACAATTTTTAGACTTCATGTTTTTATTTCTTTATAAGTCCTTCTTTAGTATTTTTATCTTTGACTACATTTCGCCACTTCTTCTTAACAAAAATTTGCTCAAAAACTATTCTATTCACTTTTTACTTGCTCTTCTTCATTTATTTGGTTATATCTTGTATTTTTTCAGAATATTCAGGACTAAAGATTTACATTTTTAAACCTGCTTATATATTTTTATCCACTTCTAAGAAAAATTTCTGCCGAAATTTTCTAACGAACTACAAGTATTTTTTCACAAGAAATAATATTATACAATCCTTGTACTTCCTTAAAGCAAGAAAGCCATAAAACTTTAAATGTTTGCTTTGCTTCACTTCCGCGGTATTAGTGTGGCTTTCTTAATAGCGGAAACGGATATAATGGCAAGCAGACACGTTGCTGTTGTTGTCGTTCGCGTCGTCGTCGACATAAGTTTGAGGCAATTTGGCATGACGCTGTCCTGGTCTATGTCGACGGCATCATTTATGCAACTTCAACTAGCCTGGCCAATTCTGATTTTTTCCAAATTCGTTAAAGTTTCCGCCCAACAACAATGCAAAGTCAAGTCGAAGCATAGCATAAAATCATAATTTTATGTTAGTTTTTCTATGCAAACTATGGATTCGACTTAAATGCAAAGGATCATAATTTCTCCTCAACTCCTGCCCCTGTTGCTTCAGCGCTTTTACCATATTTGCTACTACGACAGAAAGAAAGTAGAAAGTTTTTCGCGCAATTACCGTGTTATTTTATTATGAGTTATTTTATTGCACTTTGGCAGTGCATAATTTTGAACTCAGACACACAAACGAGTGTCTGTGTAATGCGAACATAACAATTACTCCTGCTAAATGTCAGTGGCAGCAAGAAGCTTTTTCACTGTCCTCTAAATTAATAGAAAAACACATTTTGATTAAATTTACAGAATGTGCAAAAAATTATAAAAAGCAATATTTTTTTCTTATTCTTTCAGGTTTTTCAACACCGATTAGGCACATATCAGTGCGTTCATTGTTGCCAAACACGGATCACTACATCACATACGAAGGCTCAACTACACATCCTGGCTGCTGGGAGAGCACCGTTTGGATTATAGTTAATAAACCTATTTATATCACTAAACAAGAGGTTAGTAAAAATATACAAATCCTAACTACAATATTAATCACTCAATGATCTGTGACAAAAAAATTTAATTAAAACCAAAGGCTGTGCATAATTATATCGCCAAATAATTTATAACTAAGCTTGTTTTAATTATGTTATTATCGCTTTAACCGTAGCCACTGCAAATTTTCATTATAACCAACCTTTTTAATACCCTTCGCACGCAAATTTCGAAAATAAACTAATCGTGGTGACCCACCATATAACACGATAGCAACCTCAGATATATTCTACATCATTAGAGTATACACCATTATTATGCTGTAGGCATGACTCTTCTTCGATATGCTGTGCCAAATATGATTTCTTTTAGTTAAAATCGTTTTTTCTACCAAAGACTTAGTTGTGGACCAACTTAATCCACAATAAGGTTTCAATCTATTAAAATAAAAGTCGGTCTCTTAAATTAAATGGTTGATCCGGTCTTATAGTACTGTCCGCGCACTCATTATTATTGATTTATTTGTGATTACGGGCCCAGTAAAGTACTATTCTGTTTTTGTTAAGCAGTTAATATAGCATACCGTGGTAGATCACCCATATTTCTGAAGAAAGCCTCCTGGAGACCAATACTTCAATTGTTTCTATCTGTGTTAATTTACGGAAATCTATGGCGATCGATGTAGATCTGTATAGGTCCTAGATCATGTGATCAATTCGATTCCACTTAGGGCGAAGAATTTCCGTGACTCCTATTTCACTGAATAATATTTACTTAATCTGTATGAAGAGTATTTTAGTTCTGGTAATGCCAAAGCTAACTTCTTTATTTAGTTTGCTTGAGTGTGGCGTTTTAATTTAATATTAGTTGTGTCAGATAAATAATTATTTAATTACCTTGTTAGCCACAAAATTTTGTGCAAATGTCGTATTAATTTTGCAACAAATTGAATTTGCAGTATTTTTGATTGCATTTCCCGGAATTATTCCGTGGCGGTCTCAAGCCACACAGATGCGGTAACGGAAATCAATTTAAACCGTGTTCATATGCACTATTTTAAATGGTAAAAATTATGTATTAATTGTGCACTTCATAAGCAATTAAGGACCTTTCAAAAAAAAAAAAGGACACTTATTTTATATGTGTTTAATTGCAGTTCATTTAATTGTTCCTGTTAAAGTTTCGACATATTTCATTTACAAGCAATTAAGTGCTAAGTGGTATTAAATTGCTCAAAAGTGTTTATATGGGTTTTTTTTAAATTAATTATGAATTGATAGTAGGTAACTTAAAAAATTTTTTTTTAATTTTAATTGCATATATATGAATAACTAAAAATCAGGATATTTTATTTTTACGAATACCATCTTATATTGCAAGCTTTTTTATAACTTTAAAGCTATGCATCTTTAAAGCATTTTTTAAATAGAAGTTCACATCTATCTACCAATTATCAATTGTTTATATTAAAGTAAAGTTCAATATAGACAGTTCAAATAAAAAAAACTTTCTTATATACTTAGAAGAAAAAGTTTTTTATTTAGCAAAAAGTTTTTATCTTTTACAGTAGATCAATAAATATTGTATCTGTAAATAACTATTAAAACTAAATAAGTGTCATGCTACTAATAATTAAAGAGAATTATATATATTTATTTTGTATTTTAATAATTTTTTTAGACTAAAATTATATCAGTTAACTTTTACGAACTACCATATATACTGCAATATACAATTAACTTGCGTATATATACTTCAAATTTTTTCAAACGTAATTTTATTTGTACTGTACTATTTTGTTTGCAGTTATATCAACTCAGACGACTGATGCAAGGTTCAGAGACTTCACCTAAAGCTCCATTAGGCAATAATGCGCGTCCTCTACAAGGACTTCATCATAGAACAGTAAGAACTAATATAGACTTTAAGAGAAACAAGGTAAATATAAAATTATTTAAAATATCTTCTATGTTTATTATTTAAATATCTTCTATGTTTTTATCAGCAAATAAAAAATACTTAGAATTTAAAAAATTTTTAAAAAGAATTAAGTGACTATTACAAATATTTCAAATTAAATACTAGACGCATCATAGGATTCATATAGTCCATAAATATAGATAATTAATGTATAGAATGGACTTGTTTTATTAAAGAATGTGACAGAAATATTAAAAATATGATATCTTAGAGAAATGTAATTTAATATAAAAATCTTCATAAAATCAATCCTCATTACTTACGTATATTTCTTCTTCTTATTGCATTGCAGAATCAAAACTCATGCCCTTCCATGTACAAGGATATGTATTACCGAGCGAATCGCTGGTCACCGGACACAGGACTTCTAATTCGTTGACCGCACTATCTTCACAAAGAAATGCCGAGACGGATCCGCAGCAGTACCAGCTACCAAAGTAGCCACGAAAGCAACAACGATCATAAAAACTATAACAAATTTAAATTATTACTATTATTACTATTATATATAGTAGAAGTAGCAACAAACGAAAAATATTTTACAACAAATTAAAGATGACAGGAAATAAATTAAAATCAGAAGCCGGAAATGTGGCAAAACTAAAAAATATAGAGGAAGACTTTAATTTCGTCAACTTTGCAGACAACTTCGAAATGCAGACCCAGGCTTCTGGTGTGTTATTGCTTGCTTTACTAATCAAATACTAAGCCAACTTGCAAAATATTTACCTATAAGCATTCTTTTTATTATAAACAATTGATTTTTTTAAATTAAAAAGTAATAAGTGTATTTTATTTTAAAAAAAAATTATAATTATTATTATTTGTTACATATTATTTTTTAAAAAGAAAATTGTATAAATCGTATAATTTTATTACAGTTTAAACATTATAAAAATCAAAAACAAATTTAATAAATATGTATAACCGCAGTTAAGTAAATCATTTGTTTAGATGCAATATATTTATATAAAATATATATAAATAAATAAAAATTATATAAAAAAGCCGAGAACTGGTTGGGTGGACAATAAATATTTAAACAAAAATAGCGAAATATATTGTATTTAATATAAAACATAAATAAAACATAAAAAAACGCAAGAAATATATAAGCTAAACATATTGAATATATATGAGTAAAGCAGACAGCAAAATATACTAATGCGTATATAGCATGTTCGTTGTAAGCTAATATATAACCTCAAATACTTAATCAAAATTATACATATAATTAACACTTATCTTTATAATTGTGTTTACTCCTTGAAAATTTTTACTTTCCATTGCTATGTAATAACATAATGCTGGATACTCATACCGAAGTCTATTATCCTACATATAGAGACGATATACGTCGTGCTTAGTTTTAAGTACTAGATAAAATAAATTGTATTAACTATTATTTTTTTTATGAAAATTAATCATAAAATAAAGAATATATATTTAAACCAAATATGGTTATCCTGGCTAGGCTAGTGTTGTAAATGCTACAGAATTTATTTTGCTATTATTGTTCTGTCATGGAAGAGCTCAATTGTAGAATGTGTTGTCAGCTGTGGAATTATTTTAGCTACTACGATATATCAAGAATAGGAGCAATTATTTGTATACATATGATTCTATGTGGTTAATTATATTAATAATTTTTTATTTTAATATAGCAAATTAAATTATTACATATATAAATGTATTTGTAAACTAAATTGATATATTTATATATATATTATTATATATATATATACATATGTACCAAGTATATACTATGTATTTTAGTTAATAATGAATGTAATAAAGTTAATGATCACTTGTGTAAAATGCAATAAATATTTAATAAATAATGTATTCGTATATAGTCAAAACTATTACATATGTATGCAAAAAATAAATAAATTTAAAAATATATTGTATAGTTATAAGTTACATATTACATAAAAATATTAAAAAATAATTAGTGTATGCAAATAAATAAGAATGATTATAACAAAACTAAAACTTGAAGCTTTTTTATAGAGATTTTTATATTTTTAAAAATCATTTATAGGCGAATTATACTAGTTTACCTAAAAATATTTTAATCCAAAATATTTCAATCCGCTGATTAAGCCATAATCAGTTCGAATGATTATGAATGCATAGTATTCAACATATAGATAGATATGAATTCTTTTCTTCTGATGCATAAAGTATCTTAATGTAGTAGTAATGTTTATATTTCCATTAAACCTATTTCAAGTTGTTTTACTCAATCATTATTAGGAATATTTTTAGCAGGATTTTGAAAGCATGTTAAGCTCAGTACAATATCGAATCAGTTGAAAGCCCTAATAAAGCACTTTGAAGAATATCAGCTTAATTATTGGTAACATATTCAAACAGATGACCACTAGTTATCGAAAAAAAATGTTACTAAAGTGTACAAAAATGTATATGTGTTTCGAGCCTGTTGGGATCTGTTGAGAAAAGGGGATGAGGTACTTTGAAATATTTCAATTCAATTGTCGTTGAATATATTTAAGCAAATGATCCTGGTTACCAAAAAAAGTATACAAAATTATAGAATTATGTGTTTTGAGCCTGTTCAGGTCTGTCGTAGACATACCATGAAATATTTTAGTTTAATTGTTAATGAATATACTCAAACAAATGAACCGTAGTGTTTTGAGTTTGTTCGGAACCTGTTAAGCATTTTGATAAGGTACTTTGAACGATTTCACTGCATTAACTAATGTACTGATGTTTAAAAAGCGTTGTATTCGCTTTAATTCGTTGTTAGGCTAAGCTATATATTAGATACTCAATTACAATCAAGATTTTTGTTTATATAAATCGTATGGTGAATGCGATCTAAGAATACAACTAACCTATCTTTATTTTGATTTAAATTTTTCTCAATAGTGCAAGTATTTTTAAATATTTGTATGCATAAAAAGTTCAGATATATATCATGTTTAAAAAAGTACAGACGTGTTACGTCTCTAGTCCAAATAACACACCATCGCACTATAAGTGATCTCTTATATATTGATTAGTTTTTCGATAGTAACTTGCAGCTTTTCACTACCCCAATGCAACAGTTTTGTGTTTTATTTATTGATTAGTGAAAGAATTTTTTTTAAAAATAATTAAAACATTTAATTATTAGTGAAAGAATGAAAATAAGTCATTGAGGCGAATGTGTTGTGAAAAATCGTCATCAATATTATAGTAAGATTTCACAATTCCAACAAAATCAGCGATAGCAAGGTGCGAAATATATATGACTGAAACAACGCTGCGGAATTAAAACCACGAAATGAATAACCTTCATATGAAAGAAAAATGATAAGTAAAAAAATTATAATAAAAAGAATAATAAAAATAATGCATAATAATAGTAATATATTTATAAAAATAACAAAAATCATTTATGTATTATTCCAATAATTTTAACGACTTTTTTAATGACTTTTATTTAAAAAATTAAAACTTTTTCACTTTGACCAAATTTCCATAAAATTTTGAAATTTTTACTTCATTGAAATTGCAAGTAGCTAATAAAAATTTATAGCCTAATTTGCGGCGCACACACTCATTATTAGAACTACTTTGTACCAATTTTAATTAAAATGCAATTAATTATTAAACGTTTCCATTTTGCTTTGTCATTTATGCTCAAAATTAAATTTTGTGTAAAATTCATTAATGAATTTTACTTTAATACAATAAAAAACGGGAAGCAGACACACACACCAACACATTTACTTAAACAAACAAATTATAATGCATTTAAAATATTTATTTATTATTTCCTTTGTATACAAAATATGCTCACAAACACCCACACACACACACACGCATGCCGCTTTTCAGACGAAAATGCAATCTCTTCTGTGTTTGAGCGAAATTCCAGTGAATGAATACAATTGTATAAATTTTATAATTCTATTTATGTATACTTGTCACTTATTGTTTACATGTATGCGTGTTTATGTGTATGTTTGTGGGTGTGCGTCATTGCAGTGTTAGAGTGCTTTCAAAATTTAATAAACAATTGATTGCAATAGCTAATGTCAGTGCTGTTGTTGTTGTTGTTAGTGTTGTTGTTGATATTGTTCCATTGCGTTATTTCATTGTTTATGAAATTGAAAATTGCGCCTAAAAACAGGCAAACAAATTTCTTTTATAAACTTTAAATCGTTAAAATTTACGAAAGAAATCACAGCGGTTTAGGCGTTTAGCGTAATTAGTAATTTTGACTACACTTTATGTGCTGAAAAACAACGGCTTTAATTTTAATTAGAAGCCTAGCACTATAGAAAAGGCTACCGCAATGGTTCAATGGTTGTGAAAATATAATTTTTTCCAAAACAGTTTTTTTGTTTCATTTGAAGTGTTTTGGTCAAACAGTTATGCTTAGAAAAAAAAAGTTTTTTTTTAATTTTTCTTTTATTATTTTTGATAATGTAAGGTCTTATTTTATGTAATAATATTTCATTACGTTTCTCTTCTACTTGATTTCATGGCGAATTAATTTGTAATTAGTTTTGATTCAACCGCTGTAATTACTTTGAATAAATTTCCCTTTTTATGTTATTTTTTATGTGTAAGTATTAAGGAATGGTTAAATCAACTTAGGCATGAAATTTTCAATATGGCTTTCCGGAAATTAGAAATTTGTTGAATTTAGAAATGCTTTAGTGAGTTTGTGAATAATTCAAAAAAATTCAAATTGGAGCGAAGATTTGGATATATTTACAGTTGTCTTAAACAAAAATATAAACTTTAAAAAAAAATATCTAAAAATATTTTCATGTAAGTAAATTTCAATTTACATTAATTGTATAATTATTGTATTAAGAGAACTTATATACGAGTAGCGCATAAGAACCTTACCACAGAGTCAAATATAAAGGTTAAGAGTTAAATTTTTAAGAAAACGATTTGCACAATAATTGTATTTGGATTGTTATCAGCCTCAAAAGTTTATAGATTTAAATAGTGTAATGCTTAATCTGATCAGACTATTTTCATTTCGTGTATGTGCACAGGCAATACATTCTTATTCTTTATTTTTAACTTGTAATTTTATAACTTTTTCTTATTGTTTGTTGTTATTACAGTTTCTAACAGATCTATGTACTCATAATCAAAACGTTTTATTTTCCTTGATTTTATTTGATAGTTCTTTACCCATACCCTCCAACCTCCTCTCATTTTTTTCAAGTCGCTAATTTACTCATCTTTTCCTTGGCCTGCTTTTACTGCATTCCTCAATATATGCCCTTGCATATCTTGAATCTTCCTAGATATAATACGTAGTATTAATGTACAATAATATATAAAAATAAATTATATATATTTTATTATTTTATAATTTGAGTTAATCTAACCTTTATTACATAAAGGTTAGTAATCAATCCATGATTGCATATCTTGAATCTTCCTAGATATAATACGTAGTATTAATGTACAATAATATAT